TCTCTCTCTCTCTCTCTCTCTCTCTCTCTCTCTCTCTCTCTCTCTCTCTCTCTCTCTCTCTCTCTCTCTCTCTCTCTCTCTCTCTCTATATATATATATATATATATATATAAATATACATATATACTCAACCGCGCGTATACACACACGCGCACACGGGTGCACACATTATGCGCCATGGGCTGTTTATATTAATCTCGCTCGCATTTACGCTTATAACTTTCGCGATGTAAACTTATTTGGTTTCTTTTCTGACAGTAACATGCGAGGGGGTGACTGGAACCTTCAACAAGGGAGAGACGGTGACGGTTAACGGAGGCAGGAACACACGCAGCAGCGATGTTGTCTTCATCGTAGAGAACCAGGAATGCAACCGCGATACTGGATCGCAGCTGAACAACGTCGTCAAGGTTAGCATCGCAAACAATTCTACACCCTTCAATGTATTTCGGGAAATGTTTCAATGAATTTTATTTCGTAAAATCATCCGCCTTGATTATCACGACTCACACCTATCCTCTTAAATGCTCGTAATCTTATTGAAATGTTTCAGGACAGCACGTCTTACAGTTACGTGATACTTTTTACACTTGCACTTTTACACGACTACACGTCTTACTCTTTACGGTGATCCGCCTATGAAACCTTTCTATACTCTTCTGCTACTACAATCTTTTCTCAATGCATCTTTACAGCAACTCGAGAAGCAGTTGAGGAACCAGGGACTGATGCGCAATCGTTATGCCGTCGTAGGCTTCGGCGGTGAGGGAGTTCACGACCTTCCACACGTCCACACTGGCAACGGAAAGATCTTCAACGATTTCCGTGGAGTTAGCGGTGCCATTGAGAGCCTGCCGTACTTCGAAGAGAAGAACAGTGACATTTTCGAAGCCATTGCTTATGCTGCTGGTCTGCCGTTCCGTAGCGGCATCTCCAAGACGTTCGTGCTCCTCACCTGCTCAGAGTGCAACCCCGCTCAGATGAAGGTAGGAATGCATACCTGCTTAGAGGCTTAGATTTTATCCTGAATAGACGCCATGCGCCAGGTTTTGTTATACTGTGTTGCAAAGGGAAATTTCAGCCAGTAATATCATTGACGTTGTAATGTCATAATAATAATAATAATAATAATAATAACAATAACAATAACAATAATAATAACAATAATAATAATAATAATAATAACAATAACAATAACAATAATAATAACAATAATAATAATAACAATAATAATAATAATAATAATAACAATAACAATAATAATAACAATAATAATAATTATTATTATTGTTATTATTGTTATTATTGTTATTAGCATCCTTATTATTATTTGTGTGTTTAAATTATCATTCGTTGTATTTCCAGCTTGACTATTCCGCCATGCTCTCCTTCCTGATTGAACACGACATCACCCTTCACATCGCCAAGGATCACTCATTCAAGCTGAGAGCTGCGAACAAAAAGAAGGCATCCATGATTGTTGGTAAGCCATTATCTGTAAATCCCATCATACGAATCATATGAGATCATCAAACTGGAATAAAAAAAGGCGTAGCTATTTGTGAAACGAGCTTGAATCCAAGAGCGATCCGAAACTGATGGGAACTTGATCCAAAACTCAACCCGAGAGCGTATCTGGATCAGTTCATCTTGCTCGTGTGACTGTCAACCACTAAAACCTTCTCTCGTCTTTCTCCCTCGCAGGCATCGACGGCAACTCCGTGTACACTCTCAAAGACCAGCGTGACAAGGTCCTCGCTGGAGACAAGGCGCTCTACCAGCAGCTTCAGATCCCCAAGGACATCTGTGTTGCTCTGGCGCAGGAGACCAACGGAACCATGTTCAACGCCGACAAGCTCACCACCGGCCGCATGAACCACCAGAAGAAGTACAGAGACGTGTTCGCGCGCCGTATTGCGATGACGGCCGAGCCAAACGGCTGTCAGATCTGTACGTGCGAGGATGATGAGTTCGGAGTCGGATACTCAGACTGTCGGCCGTGTGTCGAGCCCAAGAGATTCGCCATCATCCAGGTAGGCTGGATTTTTAACTGCTCAACACTATCGCATTTATCAGATTTTTTCTCCATGAAAAAGACTGTCCTCAGTACATGTACTTGTATCTGAATTACATGCAATAAATATTTAATAATAATAATAGTAATAATAATAATAATAATAATAGGCGGGCGTTGTGTCTATATCTCATACAGAGAGACCTCATGTTCACGGAGATATATGCTTGATATATTTTTAGAGATGTGATCGTCAAGATATGTATCTCTATATTCAGTACCCCCCTCCGGCGTGTATACATCAGCTGTTGAAATGAAACCATAAATTAGGTAGAATGCTGCATGCTGAACCATCCACGTTGCCAGTGAAACCGCCACCACCACTCCAGCCGCTGCCAACAGCGTGTCGCAATTTTTCCCGCTATGCTAACGTTTAGTAACAAATATGAATACGTCTGACTTGCAGGCCGAGGGAGTTGACATGGAAGGTGACAACGATGTTCTGGACAATGAGGATGACAATGGTGAGGATGTGAGATTCAAAGTGCGATACGAGGAGTACCGCAAGCTTCCAAACAAAAAACGCCCGAGCAAGAAGAGTGCCAGGAAACTCAAGAAAACGCGCCAGCAAAAGAGAGAACGCGCATGGTTTTAGGACAGATACTCTAGCGGACACGTACTAAGATTCCTGTTTCAGAAAAAAAACTAATTTGGAGCCATATCTGTCGAATAAATTGAGTGAAATTGAGCTCACTGCACTATACTATCATACTATGTATTTTAATGAATGCTTGCTGTAGTTGCTTGTAATATTCATGCACTAAAAGTTTAATATTAGTTATTTTATTATAAGTTTGTTGCATCTGTCGAAGATGCATGCATAGTGTATCCAATATTTAATGTACGTATTTTCTTTCTATTGAAGTGCCGAGAACAAGCTGTTAGAACAAACATGAAGTATATATTGCTGAGCAGGGTGCCGTATTCCCGCACCATTATATATTTTAGTATATTATATTCCAAGTTCTTACTAAATTGACGTGTATAATTCCCGCTTCTTTTGAAAATAAATACAAAATTTTGTGCATACCAAACATTATTCTCTGTGTATTGATATTGATATTTGTATGATCACTTAATCACACATCTTTGTATATTTAGTATACTTATAAAGGCAATATAATAGAGTACACACGCGATAGATTAGATGACAAAATAACAAAACTAATAAGGTGGAAAGTTTGATTAGGTACAGTGTTCATGTAGATATAGATAGATATATTTAAATTGCTTTTTAACATAAATTAGTTTCAATTAAATACTTATATGCCATTTATAATCATCAGTCAACTTGGCAGCCAGTAACAAACACAGGCACACTATGTAAACTCAATAAATAATCCATATATCTGTTATACACATTGCTAAACTTCGCTATAATGTTTGTTCTTTTACACACATAAAGAAAAGTAGCTTATAATATTATAATTTGTAAAATAGAACACATCAAAATATAAAATCAAAAGGTTAAAAATATACATAAACGATCACACTGCGAATAATAAATGGACGATAAGCTAACTAATTAATCAAAAGATAATTGGATAATGAGCATTAATTATTCCTGTTGTAAATCTTGATAGAATAATCCGAGAGCTTGTTTGAAGTCTAGCAGCTCTTGCTCTAGGTGTCTGTAACAAATGCATAGGGCGTCAATAAATGCACAAATATGCAAATGAACACATAACATGTTCCTAATCCTAATATGTAAAGTACCACTAATAATTTAATAAGTTAATCCCTGCCCGTGCCTACGTGGCACATAGGGTGATGCCTATCTCCGTTTCCGTAACCCGAGGCCATGCAGCTGCTTTCACAGTAAATGCTACAGTAGGTGGTTAGTCCACTAATAACTTAATAATTGTGTATATAATGGCGTAGGTTGTAGAAGCTATAGAGCTTCATCACAGGGCAAGTGCTTGCATGCTCCTGACAACAGCCACACTTCACTTCACACATTTGACATGTTCTCAGTGTTCAGTAGGTTAAATAAAATACTATTCCTTGCTGTGACAGACAGAATTAACTATATTTTAATTTTCTTTTATATACTAACTCCCATAAGGTCACTTTCTGTCAGAGTAATTTTTCTCTTAGATAGAAATATCTACCTGATTCGGTCTAACGTAGCAAAGAGGTCTTCAAGCTTTTCCTGGATGGCACTACTGTTCTGGTTGTATACGCTATACATGGCTTGCTCCAATGCCTCAAATGATTTACTGGCCTATAAATAGTAAGCATCATCTGCAATGATTACAACTTAATTGTTTGACTAGCACTGACGTGCAATTGTTAATTTGATTAGGTCTAGACAGTGATGATACCAACTGACATATTGCCTTAGTGTGTCACTGTGATAGAGCTGCATATAGTGCATAGAGTGCATATAGCTGTGGTAGAGCTAGCTACCATGAACCTATCTATTACACCCCATCAAAATACAACAAAACTGTATTATCTATGTTTATACCTGCATTTCTAGTGACTTTTTCCAGTCCAGTAACAGTGATGTGTCTCTTTTTCTCTTAACATTGATGTCAGCAATAAGTTGCTGTGCTACCTGATCCAGCATATCACTGCTCGTTGGCAGAACTTTGACAAAATCACCACCATAATAGCAACTTGGAGCGTCTTTTGTTGCATTAGCAAGCATTCTAGCATGCTCAGGAAGGCATGCCACATCATGTTGAGCTGGTGCCTCGTTTGATATCGATGAAAGACTAGAAGCAAAATCGCATATATGCAATGTGAAAATTAAATATGCAATGATGAATGTTCCCTAATTTCATAAAAGAAATTATGCGATTACGTTGAATGTTTCACTACCCTTCCGATTAGATTTAATGTCACTCACATTGTTTCTGTAGATAAACACTTATTGCCAGTAGCTGCAGTTTCACTGTTGTTAACTAATCTTCCATTATCCTCCATGGTTAGGCCCTGTACGGACAGAAATAGCACACGCCATACTTCACTGGAGTGGATACACATAACACGAAGATACAATAGAAAATTCCTGTCATACCAGACGCTACCTGAGAAATAATAATAATTAATATTAATAGAATACTATAATTAATACTAATATCATTATTTCCGTTATTTGACTACAGTCTACATTTTGTTACGCCAGTTTTTGTATAAATTAGAATGATTAGTCTTATTATTACAAACATCTCCGTATCTACAAAGCGTTGCACGTTTCTGATTATATTAGTTGATAATATAAATAGATAAGTTATGACTTGAGAACTACCTTTATAAACTATAGTTAGTTGCTTACTAACTTTGTTCTAAATGAGGACACACTTACGTGGGCGTCAAACGAGTCAATTCGTCTGCTTGGCGTCGCCAGAGAAGACTGGAGTTACCGCATTGCTTTATGGGTAATGCATAAGGCGCACGGGTTAAAAACATGTCGCTATCCGCAACTTTCTAGTGTCTATTTGTACATGTTTGTTTTGTTTGTTTGTATGTATAATGTCAGCGAGTGGGCTAGATACGGAAATTAACAGTGGGGTAAGTTTATTGAGAATTTAATTTGGGTTAGCGATTTTCAATTTGTGAAAGCAGGGGCGTGTACACCAGTGGCGTAGACAGGTCCTCAGTTGTGGGGGGGATGATTTCGCTGTTACCTCCATTATAATGTATATGAAGACTGTGTGCGAGTAGCGCACACCGCGAGAGCCTTGGCGCAAAGCCCTTAATGGGTGGGGACCAGGGGCCCGCCGTAGGGGCCCTGGCGGGGTGCAGGGGCAGAGCCCTTGCCCGGGGTCCAGGGGGCGGAGCCCCCGGAAGCTCTTGGATTTTAGCAATTTAGAACCTTCAAGATGGTCGTTTTTGAGGTAATTGAAAAAAATTGATATTGTAAGTGCAATTTTGTGAATTCGAGGGTAATTTTTTTCTTTGGATCCCAGAGGTTTAATAACACGCACCCCTCCCCCCACACACACAACCAGTGGCGAATCCAAAAGTAAATTCTAGGGGAGGGGGGGGGCGAATCATGCG